ACGAAAGTATTATTACGAAACATAAGCTAATGGACTTCATTTGATTGGCCATTCTTGCAGGAAGTGAGAACTGGGATGTACCAGTCTGTGTTTTTTGAGAGTTTTCTGCATAACCCATTGCACAAGGCCACTATGTCAATTCAAAGATATTTGCAGTTTCTTGCACTTTGATGACAAGAGCCTAAACAAACCACATGGCAGCTTTCTGCTACATATGGGGCCTGTTCCTGGTGAACTGCAGGCAGAAATTCATCCTCACGTGATTGTGTTATAGTGGATGAACAACTTGTGCCTTTCAGAGGGAAGGACCCAGCTTCTGCAGTATATGCCGAACAGCATACAAAAGTGATACAAGCGATACAAAAACTGCAGTTCCTTAAAATTAATAAAAATGCAAAGCGCCTCATGAGGAATACCTCAAATATAAAAAAATATTACAACTCTTCATTTTAAAGATTTTGAAGTACTAAGTTTACAGCAAAACACCGATTTTATTTGGGGTTATTTTTGACCCCATTTGTGGAAGAGTGTAGATATTGGTAGGCTGTGCATCCAAGGGTTAAAACATTTTTAGTAAATTTGTTATACAAAATGCTTATTTTCCTCCTTTTACCATTTAATAAATTGTCACTTAAAACTTAAATAAAAAAAATAAAAAAAGCTGGAGTATTTGTTAGAAATGTTGAGCCCATTCTGTAGATTCATGTTCCATAGTGGTAAAGTAACAGGGAGGATACTTTCCCTGTTTACTTTGAACCTACCTACAGGTAAGCCATAGGAATTTCCAGTTTAATTTCACATTTGACAAAGAATCCTGAGACTTTCACAAATTAGTCAATAGAGCATTAAGACAGTGCCCACCCCACCCCAAGATATTTACAGATCCTGCTTTGAGATAAATTAAGAGCTTCCAGTTTCAAGTTAGAAGTTCATGTACAACACATAAGGGTTGCAAGATTAATTTATTGTCAAGGCAGTTACATCTCCATACACAAAACACTTTGACATTTGAAGACTCTGCTCAATCATGCCAACTACAAGTTGTTCCCTTGCACCTGTGTTGCAAACAATGGCCATAAATGACATCTCTGAACCCTGTTTTTAGGTCATTAAATTTCACTCCTGCATTTTACTTGTTCTAGGAGGGTTACTTTATTAGAAAACACGTCAGGTAGCAGCTGGTATAGCTGAATGTTTAGTCGACCTCCTCAATGGTTGGTCCAGAGGATCCACCACCAGGAGCGGCACCACCGGCTCCAGGGAAGCCACCAGGCATGCCCTCTGGCATTCCTCCAGGCATACCTCCAGCACTCTGGTACAGCTTGGTAATGATAGGGTTGCACACCTTCTCCAGCTCCTTCTGTTGATGCTCATACTCGTCCTTCTCAGCAGTCTACAAAATATAGATATTGTATAAGCCCTTCATAGCAATTGATACTATTGTGATTTTTTTCTGGTGTGTGCTTGGGGGTGGGGTTACCTGGTTCTTATCCAGCCAGCTGATGACCTCATTGCACTTGTCCAAGATCTTCTGCTTGTCATCATCGCTGATCTTGCCGGCCAGCTTCTCATCCTCCACAGTGGACTTCATGTTGAAAGCATATGACTCCAGGCCGTTCTTAGCAGACACTTTGTCACGTTGAACATCATCTTCTGCCTTGTACTTCTCTGCTTCCTGAACCATGCGTTCAATATCCTCCTTGCTGAGCCGACCTAGAAGGACAGCAAAGAGTCACAAGTTGTGCCAGAATTTTGATGTCATCAATCAAAACCGTCATCAATCAAAACCCACCTTTGTCATTGGTGATGGTAATCTTGTTTTCCTTGCCAGTGCTCTTATCAACAGCAGAGACATTCATGATGCCATTGGCATCAATGTCAAATGTCACTTCAATCTGGGGAACGCCTCGAGGAGCAGGAGGGATTCCAGTTAGCTCAAATTTGCCCAGCAAATTGTTGTCCTTTGTCATGGCACGCTCACCCTCATAAACCTGTTGAAATAGAGGTCAGCCAATAATTTTTCCACTGCACATCTACACAAATGCTAATGTCTGACAACATGAGTCTCAATCTCTAGTGGAATGTGAATGGCAGAAATTAACATAACTGCAATTAAAAGGCCAAGATAAATAAGGCTACACTTACCTGGATGAGCACACCAGGCTGGTTATCAGAGTAAGTGGTGAAGGTTTGGGTCTGCTTGGTAGGAATTGTGGTGTTACGTTTAATCAGGACAGTCATAACACCTCCAGCAGTCTCGATACCCAGAGACAAAGGTGTGACATCCAGAAGGAGAAGGTCTTGCACATTCTCAGACTTGTCACCAGACAGGATGGCAGCCTGGACAGCTAAAACCAAAAAAAAAAAAAAAAAAATTATTTCAAGATAAAAACTAAATTCCGATTATAATAGGGCAGCTATCATCAGTAGCTTTTTTCTCCTCTGAAAACTTACCAGCTCCATAGGCCACAGCTTCATCTGGATTAATGCTCTTGTTGAGCTCCTTTCCATTGAAGAAATCCTGGAGAAGTTTCTGGATCTTCGGGATACGGGTGGAGCCACCAACCAATACAATGTCATGAATCTGCCCTTTATCCATCTTGGCATCGCGGAGTGACTTCTCCACAGGATCCAGGGTGCCACGGAAGAGGTCAGCATTGAGCTCCTCAAATCGAGCCCTTGTGATGGAGGTGTAGAAGTCAACTCCTTCATACAAAGAGTCGATTTCAATACTGGCCTGGGTGCTGGAAGACAGGGTGCGCTTTGCCCTCTCGCAAGCAGTGCGCAGACGACGGACAGCCCTCTTGTTGTCACTGATGTCCTTTTTGTACTTGCGCTTGAACTCTGCAATGAAGTGGTTGACCATGCGGTTATCAAAGTCCTCCCCACCAAGATGAGTATCACCAGCAGTGGATTTGACCTCAAAGATGCCATCCTCAATGGTCAAGATGGATACATCGAAGGTGCCACCACCAAGATCAAAGATGAGAACATTCCTCTCTGATCCAACCTGAGAACAGATTTGATAGTGCTTAACAGACAGTTAACAAGAAAGTAGTATAATCCAGAATAAATTTTTACCCATTTACCTTTTTGTCCAACCCATAAGCAATGGCAGCTGCAGTGGGCTCATTGATGATGCGCAGAACATTCAGGCCAGAGATAGTGCCAGCATCCTTTGTGGCCTGACGCTGAGAGTCATTGAAGTAAGCGGGCACTGTGATTACAGCGTTGTTGACAGTCTGAAATGTAAAAAAAAAAAAGGACATTAAATTGATGAGTCATGTGAAAACTTGCGACTATTCCACAAAGGAAAATTCAGAGCATACTTTTCCGAGGTAGGCTTCAGCAATCTCCTTCATCTTTGTCAGCACCATGGAGGAAATCTCCTCTGGGTAGAATGATTTTGATTCACCCTTGTACTCAACTTGAACTTTAGGGCGACTATTGTCATTGATGACATTAAATGGCCAGTGCTTCATGTCTGATTGCACAACTGTATCGTCAAACCTCCGGCCAATAAGGCGTTTGGCATCTGAAAGAGAAAGTTATATTTTGTTATTTTTTTTTAAAAGATGCAATACACTTCTGCAATAGTCTTATCATTCTTCCCTCAAATCCACAAGGCTCAAGACTGGTCTTTAACAGAGATGAGTTGCTTCAAGACAAGCTCATGGGTGGTAAAACTGAGGCGTTAACTTAATTTGGTTGATGAATACCAATTTTTTCAAGGTGTCCTACCTTGAAAAAAAAAAAAATTTGTATTCATCAACCAAATTGACTTTTACTGTTAAGTAAAATTTTAACCCTTACCGAAGACTGTGTTTGTGGGGTTCATGGCAACCTGATTCTTGGCTGCGTCGCCGATCAACCTCTCGGTATCTGTGAAAGCCACATAACTGGGTGTGGTCCTGTTGCCCTGGTCATTGGCAATAATTTCAACTTTGCCATGCTGGAACACACCAACACAGGAGTAGGTGGTCCCAAGATCAATACCAACTGCTGGTCCCTTTGACATGTTTCCTAAAGAAATGCAAGAACAGTGTTACATTTATATTGGTCTTCTAGTTACCTGTAACTTTTTTACTTCAATCCTTTATAACATGCTTAATGTCAAATTCAATTGAACAACTACATTTTACCCAATTATTCAATTTAAGGCAATTTAGACTAATAGAACTAGAATGTACAACAAAAACGTATGGTTTTAGTTGATTTGCTTTAATTATCCTTCAAGTTTAATTTAGAGTTGTCTTTTAAATTTATATTGATTATATAAATTTGATTAAGAGCTTTTATTTTCCCCTTGGCCATAAAACATTAAGCATTTTAACAACGTTATTGGGCTAACAAACCCCAATTCCAACAACCCACCCACTTACAGAAAAAAAATGAAGGAACCCGCCTTGAAAGAGCGTGGCTCATGGCCAAGCAATAGCCATGCGTCAGTCATAAATCACGTGCACAGCAAACTGGTACAACCGGAAATCTAAAAGCTAGAGTGCTTTGATACTAAAACTATTATATTAAAATGTGTCTAAAGCACAAGAAAATATTTAAAGAATTAAATCTGAAAAGATTTACAAAACCTTTTATTTTTGCTCTAGAGTAAAAAACAAAAAAGAAAGAAAGAAAAAAAACAAAAACCGGAAGCCTGTATATTCCGGGTATCCGGGTAGCTTAACAGTTGTTCGAGAACATTCTCGAACGCGTCAGGATTTCTCCACCCCCCCCTCTTCCTCCGCCATTATATAGCCTTAATGCAGCATTTGAGCCGATGATTACGCCTCGATAACAAGGATATGAATACTTTCACCTTCATAATTCACTATGCGATACATATTTGTTAATAAAATAACCGTCAAGCATTTAACACGAGGAGAAAATTCAGCATTCCCCAGTGAACATGCACATCAGTCATACAAAGCAAATCCTGCCAGCAAATTCAACTAACATACTAGTACTTTTTGTTAACACCAATGTATTTCAGAATGACTTACCGAGTTACTGAACTGAGGTTGACTGTGGGTATTGTTGGGCTGGAATGGACTAGCGCCACGGTGACTCAACCCTGCCGGTATGAGAAGCGAAAGGAGGTTGAACCTTTAGCCGAACCCTTTATATGACCGGCACAGCATCCAATCGGCGCAGTCACTGAGTCTTTCCTCATCGGTTCACCAATGAGGCTTTGGTGAACCGATGACGCGAGACACAATCCATCCCACTTCCTGCTTTATTGTGACTGCTTCATAATGGTTGTGAATACCCGCATGCCATAAGATGGAAGCTTTGTGTGAAGTGTAGAAGGCAAATCATCTCTCTCTTCTTTTTTTTTAGATTTTACCGTTAAGTATGTCAGTCATGTTCGGTGCTTGATTTGGCTTCTGTTTTTTGTAAGCTACATAACGCTCTTTAAGTTCATACATAATTGATATATTATGGAGCTATTTTTAAAAATATGCATATAGACCTTAGTGTTATATTACCGTATTAATGCTCGACACGTTTTCAGAGACAAAGCCACAGAGTGCTGATAATATGTATATGATATGAATGTTTCCCATAGCCTGTTATCTATGCTCAAAAACAATATATTATAGCAAAATATAATTTATTGCTACATGTTCAACCCAAACATACAAAATATATACATACAAGGCAACATATATGCTATATTCACACAGTATATATTACAGATATTATGTTGCCACATTTGATCCTGTGTAGACATTCAAACAGTTCATTAGGAACACCTGCAGACATGCTTATTCTTGCTGTTGCTGGTCATCCGCCAGTCATATAGCAGCAGTGCTATCAGGTCAGGTGGGATGTTCATATAAAACAAAAACATGGCATGACTGATGATGTAAGAGGGGGGCGTGGGGGGGGGGGGGATTAACTTGTCGTCAATTGTTAGACTGAATGGACCTCGACAGTCCAGGTTATGTATCGGTATGGGGAAATGTTTTCCTTTGTCTGACCATGAGCATATGTTTATGAGATCTTCTACTGACCATTACACACAGGAAATCTAACCCTCATGAACATAACAGTGAGTTCAGTGGACTTCGGTAGCTGTAGCAATGTAACAGAATGAAAACAAGGATAAAAGTACAGTAGACAAATGATGTGATGAATAATGTCAACATAATGTAGATACTTTAAGTCGTTTTTTTCAACATCTTGTGGCATTCATGGCACCAAGAACTGATGCTGCTGAAGATCAAAGGTAGGTTCTACCTACCATAAGTAAGCACATATTCCTAACAATAATAAGTGAATGATTGCCCTGTATTCTGCCATGCAAGTGCAGAAAAAAATGGAAAATTGCTGATATCATGAAAACTGTGTTTTCAAGACAGTTATAGCGATGTCTCCTTCGCATCACATTTGGCTAAAGTTTGTGCTGTAGTTTGATGTTGAGAAGTTGTTGCTGTGATCACAGCTGTGTTTTGCACTGAAGTCATCGTCTTTGCTGGTTCTTCAACAACATACTGTGTGAAGGCTGTATTGAAGAGGCCTGTAACAATAAAGAATACCAATAAATATCCCATTTTCTCTTTTAAGATAGGATAAGGCAGTTTTTACAGTGTTACTGGGCAAAATGTGTCAATGAAAGCACTCCCTGACCATTAACTGGGATTCAAAATATGTAAAGGTTGATTGGATTTTTGAGTTTGAGTTCCCTAAGTAAGTGAACTTTATCCTCTGTTTGACAAGTGTGCTGTTCCTCTAAGCTGCCAACATGACCCTAGTCATGTTTTAGCAAATGCTACATTTTATAATATTCACATTTAAACAGAAGGTATAATACAGTCATAGATGCGAACAACCATCTAATTAAAAGGTTTTGTACCTCTTCTCCGTTGTGCTTGTGAGGTCTTTTCTTCATGGCTTGATTTAGATTTACTGCTCTCCTCTGATGGATTAGAGTCTTCATTTTCTGTAACAATAAAAACTGTCAAATCTTTTGTAAGATAAATAAAAATACATTTAGATCACAATTCCTGAAAGTACAACACACTTGCTGCAAAATTGTAAATAACAGCAACTTTAGTCTGACATCAAACAGAAAACGTGACCTGCTTACCTCTTTTCCAGGCAATGTGTGCTCTCCTCAGCTTGATAGCAAAAAAAATGACGACCACTAGAAGGCCACAGATCAGGCATGTCACTAGCAAGACCAGCAATGATGAATTTTCTTGGTCTTTTCTATGCATGTTTAAGCCAAAATTCCCTGGAAATAGAGAAAACCCCAAACCTTAAGGATTTTAAAACACATGGTGTTCTCTGTGATTCTCAGAGAAGAGGAACTGTTATTTTAACTATTCAAGCTGAGTGTAAATGTACCTGTTGTGTTACTGTCCATGTTATCAATGGTGATGTTCTCTGTGGTTTCAGGGGAATATGTCCAGCCTTTAAAGGTGTAGTAAAGAAAAGAGGTACAATAATTAACACAGACTCTATGAAGCTACTACAATCCAGGTCTATTATGGTTTTCAAATGGAACCATTTTTTTGTAGTTTTCCAGAGTAACCAATAGGTGGCATCAAACACACATATTTGAAGAACCTGTTGGGCCTACTGCCTCAATGGTGTCATTGCTTACCCTGTTTGAACACGATAGGACTTTTTTTAAAATAAATTTTTAGCGTTTGTTTTTTTTTTTTACAGTAATTTTCTGAATATATAAAGCTCAGGTAACATGCGAAAATGGAAGACAAATAACTGTTTTGCACACATTCTGCTTAAATTTTAATATTACACTGAATTTACTGTGTGAGTAAATTCACACATATATAGTGCATTTCTAACCAATTACATGTCAGTAGTGTTCAAGGTTTGAAACACTGAAGACAGAAGACATAAACTGCTTTTTTTGGAGCATATCTGACGATCAGAGCAGATATGGTCTCGGAACAGTTTTTGTTTGCCCACAGAGCTGCAGCCTCCCAATCAGTGAATACATCTAACATGACAGAGTTTCATATAGCTCAAGCTCTCCATTGCAGGAAATACATCTGGTGTTATATCAACCACAGTAGTGGTTAAGAGACCTTTTAGACATTGTATGTGATCACTCTTGTTTCCACCCCATAGGCTCACAGTTAGTGTAATATGCTAAACACACAATACTAAGCAGTAACAAAGAGATGTATTGTAGGCTAATTTCTCCACTAAAGTTCACTTTCCTTTTTAGCGGATCGAGGGATTTAAGTTTCATTTAAAATATGATGTATGGCATAACTTAAAATGTAAAATGGTGTTTTATTCATTGTGAACTAAATAAAATGTATTTCTTTTTAAAACTTCCATTTCTCCACTACTTTCTTTTGTGTCCCTAAGCTCATCCTAAGGTGTGTTATCTAATATGAAACCTTATGTTTCTTGAAATCCATGGGGCATAAAAAACAAATAAAAATGCAGACAGTTTCCACTCACCACTAGTGCTGAGATGTGGGTCTGTAGGGCCTGTAACAGGGATCTGAGGAGATCTAGTGCTAGACATCTCTGGGTCACTGGTGGAAGCCTGCAGACTGGAGGGAACCGTTGAGCTCTCTGATAAGGGCTTGTTCTCGTTTCTTGTGGTGGAGTACACTACTGTTCTATTATGTCTGATCCACATGGTTGTTGTCCCTGGCACTTGTGTTGATCCTTTAACAGTATGTGGACTGACTGTGGATGTGTGGTGGGATCCTTTTGCTGTGACAGAAATTGGACTTGTGTTACTACTGAGTAGAAACAACACTCAGTTCAGAGAAAGTTAAAATTCATGATGTCATGAAAACTATCTGCAAATCACACTTCATTTTTATTAGAATAGAGGAAACTAGATTTTTTTAACAACACAGAATGAGGAAATTACGTGGATTTGCCATTTTTTTTGTTTTTATTTTTGGTCAGACAGTTTCACAGTCTGGTTCTGTGGACTGTTTTGTGGCGCAGTTCATGAGTTAAAAACCCCAGTGCTTTCCCTGTTCTGTGACGACACAACTACACAGTCACTGTTCCTCAAATTGAACATTTTATGTAGAAGTTATTCACTGTACACAAGTCATGGATAATAAAATGGATGATTTTACTCTTTTAATGTTTAAAACTGTTGCTATAATGTGGTGGTGTTGAAAAACTAAATGAATGAAATATACTCACAGCCTCGTCTAATTATTACAAAGTTCATCAGATGTTTTGATTTCAATGCAGGGTGACGAACAAGACACTTCACAGTAACTCTTTTCTCTACTGAGAGAATTTCCATCATCCCAGTGGAGATGTATTTTTTAGCTTCCTGTTGGAATTGGTTGCGAGCTGTAAAATGGGATAGATGTCATTAGCATCAATTGCATCAATTTACACCATCACAAATGCAACACTTGATCAAATCAACCCTTTGTAACGGAAACTACTCTTCTGTGGAATTCAAAATAAAATTCAAAATCCCCCTTGTTTAAAGTCTTTTTTTAAAACATTTGAGCGTTGTTCAGTCTCATCATAGTAGCAAAGATTCCAGAAAGTGTGGGTCATGCTATCATCATCACATGAGCCCACTCACTGGTTGCTGTCACTAATTTTAATACACCTACAAATGTCTAAATTCCGCAACGTAAATGTTAACACCCATGTTAACCTAACCCTAACCCATCCATCCACTCTTAACTGCTGTGGTTTTAAGCACAGTAGTTAAGTTTTAGGAAGAACACATTGCATTTATTATCAAAAAGAATCAACCTTTCCTAGTATCAAATAAATTCACTTTTTGTGCTTATTCCTAGTTAACTGCTCTTAATTGAATTGAATTGAGTTCACAATATACATGTAACTTTTTTTTTAATTTTTATCTATGTATAGAAATTAGCAAACATTTGTTTGCCAATTATGTATCATAAAACATTTTATGATACATAAATATGAGTAATCAGCAAGGGAATGATATCAAAATGGCATCCCCTTGTGTAGTCACCTCAATTCAGCTTTTTGGAAAATCCACTGGGAAAAATACTGATTGAAGGGCAATTTTTCTAACTAACACCTCAAACTATTATTCTCACTTTCTTCCAACTTACCAAGAAATTCTGACCCATCGTCGATTTTCCAAGAAATCTGAGGAGCAAAGTGGTTCCCCACAGCAGTGCATTTTATGACAGTCTTTCCTTCATGCTTTGTTTTTGACATTTTGGGATAACCTTCAAAAGAATCACAAAAGACAAAGTTTTATGAAACAAGATCAACACAGTGGTAATTGTTTTGGTAATTAGTATAACTGTCAAAGTCTGATCCCATCGCTAGTAAAGATGTGAAAAGAAAGTAAAAAGAAAGACGTAAGATAATATTTACCCAACACTGTCACCTCCACTATCTTCTCTGTTATTTGGTCTCCATAATGAGAACATGTGTAATTGCCTCCATCGTTAAATTTGACGCTGGAAACACTGATGGAGAATTTTGACTCAGACAGTGTGTCGATTCTGTAGCGTTTGTCCTTTAAGGCTGGAAACAATTTTTTTTAAAGTTATTTAATGTTTGCCTTTCACCAAAGGTTGTTTGAATTTTGGCCCAAACATTTGCCACTTTTTAAGTTTTTGTTTTTACATTCATTAGTGTGACTGAATATGCCATTTTCACCTTGATTGTGATTGAAGAACATAACAAATCCTTTAGGGTTTTTCCAGTCCACATTGGTCTTGTCAGCATTGGTAACAGGACAGCTTAAGCTGAGGTTCTCACCTTCCATGACCGTCACATGCTGCAATACTGCAAGTGAAACTGCAATAAAATAAAAGGAAGTTTGACTTTGTTAACGTTTCTTTGAGAACGAAATGTGCATAACACATTTCCTAACATGGTAAAAACAAGTGAGCAACCATCTGCTGAAATTAAAAAGTCAGTGGCACACATACAGATGTCCAAGTTAAGTTTTAAACAGTTCAGTTAAACTTTTCACAGTCTGACTCATCTGCCACCACCTCTGCCACTGGCCTGTCACTGTGTATATATACAGTAGGTGTGTGGAGGAGGTGTGACAGGAAAAAAATGCTACAAAATAAGCAGCCCCCCTGTTATACATCTGATGCATTTCTGTTCTAACAGGAAGTAATGTGGTCAGTGCTTTCAAGGTGAAAGAGAAAGTAGGGCGGGTGTGAGGAAAAAATATATATTTGCTGTAGGTTGTTCATGGGGCCTTTGGGGGCTTTTTCTTTTCTGTGGGTTTCAAATAACACACGGAAAACACATTTGTTGGGGGCACACTGACACCACTGCAGAGGTCATAAAGCTATTTTTGCAGTTTGTGTGCTAGTCATGCCATTACATCAACTGACAACCACCAATATTTGTATTGATGACTTTTCATCAGTACAGTCATTTTTATGTCTCTCTAGGCTTCGGTTGTCTCTGTTTCTTTTTCAATTTTATTTGTATTGCCTGATCAATACAGAAAATGTAATTTCTCAGTAAGTTCTTAATGCTAACTAAAATATACACATTGTATACTGTGTATGTTACGTTGTTTGCTCTTATGCAAAGCTAAAGCCAGTCTCATTTGTCTATTTTGTCTCATTATAAGGTTTTCATCTGTATCGTTCCATTACTGACAACTATTAAAGGGCCAGTCTACATATATACTCTATGTCATAGAAGAAACTGTCCTAAAGAACTTTCATTTTATGTCAGTCATTTAACAGAGTTGAGAAGTTGTGAACTGGTTCAACATACAACCCCAGTTCCAACAATGCCAGGGTACTGTAACATGTAAATAAAACACAATGCAACACTTTGACGCCACAAACCCTCATCTTATTTACAACAGAACAAAAACAATAACATATTAAAACTGAGAAAATCTATCATTTTAATAAAAAAAAAATACAACTCTCTTAAGAGCTGTCCATAAACATAGGAGGACTTATGGGAGCAGTTACTGGACTTTGGGGGAGGAATGTTATCCTGTTCTTGTATGACAGGATTATAGCTACTCCTGGGACTTCTTTGTTGTATTTTTTGTTTCACGATATGCTACATGTTCTCAACAGGTGAAAGGTCAGGATCCTGGTAGGCCAGTTCACCCAGACCTCCTCCTATCAAGCCAAGCTGTTTTACATGCTTTTAATAGCAGTAATGGTGTCTTACCAGATGTGCTACGCATAGAGACTAATGTATTGCACGGTAGAGCTTTAACCTGCATTTATGGCAAACACAAACACAGTGATAGGAAGTGTTCCTAAGTAATGTTGCTCCCATCAAATTCAAAATGAGCTTATTATTTTTATGAAATTGTACAAAGTTTCAGTATAAACAATTGATATGTTTTCTATGTTCTACTGTGCATACAATATGGGTTTAGCAGATTTCCAAATTACTGCATTCAGTTTATATTTACAATTTATGCAGCATCTCAACTTTCTAGGTTCAGTTGATGTGAACACGAGCAAACAGAAATCCAAATGCAAATTCCTCTAATGCATAACTAATGCAACAGAGTCTTTTACTGAAAATTGAAGCACTTTCTGTGTGAAATATGAGAGCTTGTAATTGTACCATAATTTTCTCTATATAATAAATCATCTAAATGTAAAAGATCACAAACAGCCTCAGAAGGAAGTTGTTTACTCCAAGGCATAGTCATCCTCACTGTGTTCATCTGCTTTTTCCAGTCATGTAGGTTACGATCCTATTTCAGCACTTATCAGATCAAACACTGCCAAAGAGTGTAAAAAGTCAAACACTCACCCTCAATGTACAGCACAAAGACGCTAAGCACAAGTTTTAGTTCCATCTCTGTCACGAAGAAACACACTGACTCTGGTGCACTTCCTCATCACTCATCTATATGTACTCTACTACGGGACCTTCCATGACATCACAGCTCTGTGGTTTCCCCTAACTTTTTGATTTGAGAGATTCTCATGTGACTCCTTACAGTAGAAGTGGAAGCTGACCATGATTTCCTTTTATTACTGTTTGTAGTTTTGCTGCCAAACATGAGTTGAATCTTGAATTTACAACTATCTATCTTGTGGATGGCTGTGGTTCATCAGAGCATGAATGTTACATAGAAAGTGTGAAAAGTACATGTTGTAAAAAGTGCTTTGAGTGTTTAAATAGAGTAGAAGAGCACTATATAAGGATCAGTCCAGTTACCATTTATAGTAAAAGACCTGAGACAAAATTATCCTTCCTTATTTTCCAAAATTATGTTAATTCTGGAATTAGTAACTCTGGAAACAGTAGAGATGCTTTATCAACCAGGTAGCCAGCTAGTACCTAACATTAGTAACTGTGGTTTGAACACAGTTACTAAACTTCAGGTTGAATTGCCACTGCAGTTTTAACTCACACATCAACAAGATTAACAACTTGCCACCAATCTGTGGCTTACTAAGAGGAAATGGCTACTTTCTAAAGCAAAAGATGTTTGAGTTGGAAACTTGTTTCAGGTGGGTACCGAGGGGAAAATGAAAGCCATAGCCCTCATGGTTTTATGATGTTTTCCACTGTAGACTCGACACAAACATTTACTGAATTTAGTCAGATCAAAAATGTGGTATTGCAGTAATTAGGTGCCATTACAGTCTCCAGAAGAAAATGGAAGAATAATTTAAAAGCAAATGCAGAAACATACTTGTACTCACTAACTATATATAGAAGTGGAAACAAACCTGTGTGAATTTCTTTTGGGGAGGTTTTACTATGTGTCATATAAGTCAGGTTGCTTAAAATGTTATATCAAGCAGTAACTTAAAACATTTATCACGTTCTGTTCACTTGTATGTGAACACAGAAATTAAATGCCTCTTACCCACTCTTAAAAGAACAACAGGAGAGGAATGGTCTTAGGGTCAGTCATCAAGTATGTTAAATCCTGAAAGACAAAAAAGTTAACTGGATAGAACACATAATTTACAAATCATTCACTCTGTAAAACTCAGCATGGGGTTCAGTGTTGCCTAAATATCCTCATTAACTTAACAACAGTGTAGCGACATAGAGGGGTTCACGGTTCACAGTCATACTAGGTTAACTGGTGATTCTAAATTGAATGCAGGTGTAAATACTGTAAATGGGAAATGGACTGGATTTATTTGGGCTCGGAAAAGGGTGGAGTCCCCACTCTGGGTCAGGACACCCCGGAGAGATTATATCTCTCGGGTGGCCTGGGAATGCCTTCTTGTTTCCCCGGACAAGCTGGAGGAAGTGGCTGGGGAGAAGGAGGTCTAGGCTTCTTTGCTTGGGCTACTGCCCCCACAACCCGGCCCCAGATAATCGGAAGAAGATGGACAAAAGACTTTTTCTTTTGGATGGTAAATGTACTGGTTCTTTTCTACTCTGACCAGACAAAGCGCTTTACACAGCTTGGCTAATTCACCCTTTCACACCCATTGGCACAAGCACTTTTCTCTAAGTGCCTTCTAACATCGACATGCATTCATACTCCAATGGATGCATCTGACAGCAATTTGGGGCTAGTTTCTTGGCCCACAGTATCTTGCCCGAGAACAGGCATGGCAGTAATCAGGCCTGGATGTGGCTAGAGAAATTGAACTCAGGTTTCCAAAGATGTGATGCCACACAGTTTTTTTTTATGTTATAATGGGGGCGCGCAATCTTTTTTTTTTTTACACAGGGTCATGTAAGTTTGGATTTTTTCCCCCTTAATAATAAACACCTTCATTTTGAAACTACATTTTGTGTTTATTTGTGTTATCTTTGTCTCATATTTAAATTTGTTTGGTGAGAAACATACAAAAAAATAGGAAATCAGGAAGGTGCCATACACCTTTTCACACCACTGTATATAGAAAAAGCACAGAAAAAAGTGCTTGTTTGAATAGCTGAATTAGGTAAGTTGTATAAAGTAGTGTGCACAGGTGCCCCATTTACCAATAGAGCAGGGTTTTCAGTTATTAAAGCCAGACATGAAACCAGACAGACCTACAAACAAGCAGCAACTAAAGGTGGCCTAGTAGAGTATCTCCAGAGAGGAAATGTAGCAGTCGTTATCTGCCAAAGATCGATATCTAAGTATCAAGCAGAATCCTTACACTGAAAAAGGTGTTAGTTTGTCCTTTTAATTTGGAGTCACTGAAAATGGAAGACTATTTATAAAAATGCCTGCATTTCCTGAACAGTTAATGCATTACTTTTGTTAAACATATAGAATTAAAGCTTAAAGCGTGTATTTCAATCATATCTTGTCATCAGATCCTGCTGACTTGAGGATGCCTGTAAGTTTTCACATGTCACATATGATTCATTAAATTTGACTGATTTTCTGTTTCTGTATGGGTTTAAACTAATAAAAGATCTATGGTGTGCATATAAATATAAATTTAAAGTATTTGTATGTTATTAAAATACATTTTTCATTGCAATGAATTGGTGTGATTAAACATAATGTTTGTTGAAAATTGAAAAAGCATTTAAAATTTGCATTATAGAATATTTGCATCGAATTTTTGACAAATACGAATTTTAGAGCATCCAATTTGTCTTTCTTTTTTTTTTATTCCACTATTTCTGTTTTATTTGCATGATCTTCATGTGAGTATGTAACTTTCAACCATGCACAAGAAAAAAAAAAAGTATGGTGTCCACTAGGGGTTTTTGTTTTATGGAAAAAGTAGGATGAGGTGGAGAAACTGTGATGCCATATCTAATGTAACCTTATTTGTGAGGTCAACTATAATACCTGGTGAACAAGGCAAAAGCAGACAGCAACCACTTTGCATAAGTAGAAACTTCTTCAAGAATACTGGTCCATGTTTTCCAGGACTTCTTCAAGAATACTGGTCCATGTTTTCCAGGAATTTAACATTTAAAATATATATGTTTCACTAGAATTTTACACTGTCAATTTAGAGTTTGTGGTTTTGTCCTTAAATTAAATTGTGCGATTGATCTTTCTGAGTTAAATTCGGTAATCATTTCAAACCATCGACATGTCTATTCGATTCCATTCCTATAAGACTGTTCAATAGAAGTCTTACCAATAATTATTGCTTCAGTCTTGCTTCAGATATGATTGGCCTATCTCTATTAATGGGCCTCAGTGCAGCATTCAGTACTGTTAGCCATAGTATTTTATTACAGAGATTAGACCATGCCATAGACATTAAAGGTAATGCAACACAGTGGTTTAAAACAAATCCATCTTATAGACCCACAAAGCAAACTGGAGCTGGCTTTGTCCTTGTATTTTGTTTTTATTTTTATTTTTATTTTTTTCTCTGTGGGCAGGTGTGCTAGGGGTGGAGCTACTGCAAGTGAGGTGCTCACCTAGCTGTGTGGGATCACTCTCATTAAGATGGCAGCTGGCACAGCAGTTCTCCGCCTGATCACTACAACCTCCATGATAACACTGTCTCATTTTTATGCCTAAACTAGTTTTTCTTTGTGAGTTTTCCAGTCATTTGATCCCCTCAGTTCCTGCATGCATTTTTGGATTTATACAGGAACCACTCAGACCCATAGATGCTGTTAGTTCTTTCTTTCTATTGCAATGTTATTCCTGTGATTTCCTTAGAGCACCCACAGCAAAGATTACATTTTTTTATATTGGATTAATTTTGCTACTTTCTTTTTAATGCTATTATGCACATTATGCTATCATAAAATCTTGTAATGTAACTTTAGCTTTGTCCCAAAACCTAGACTGCATCCTTCGGAGGCTGCATTTGTAGACCGATTACATCACAGCCAGGCGATGAAGGTTCTCCCAATTCTAAGGCTGCTCCAAACGCGGCTGACAAATGCGTCCTTCATTTCATTTCAATTTGAAGAATGTGTCAGGTGTATCCTTCATGGCCCAACCTTTCCCGGAATTCATATCGTGGCCCAGCCAATTCCAGTTTCCAACATGGCAGCATCTACTTAGTTTTAATATTATTCTTTCTGGGTCACAAAATAAACTTTCAAGATATTTTCAGCCGAAAATGTAGCTGTGTGAACTTCAAATATCTGCTTGGTTTATCAAGACATCACATATTGGCAAAAGTGCTCCGACATTTTCGGAGACGTATGTTACCCACCAGTTTGAAGTTTTGCGAGATCTCGCAAACATTTTGCGAGATCCCGAATGCATTTTTTTTCTCCAATGTTCTTTGTGGGGCTCCATACAGAATAGACAAGCCTGCATGAAATCTACTTCATTAAGTAAAAACGATAAAAAGCCCTCAGATGGCTCCAATCCAAGAACATCAGACACTTACCTATTCAATTATCCCAGCAATCACCTTAGACGTGACAATGGCTGTCATTGTTGAAAATTCAAGGAAATCAACAGATTCCCATTGAAATAAATATTCCAAAATGAACTTATATTAGTGTTTGCTGTTAACCCTCTCAGGCTCAAATTAAACTTTTTGTTGCTAATGCACAACCAAGTCCTGCAGTGGTACTTCTGAGTAAAAAAAACTCATAAAACATGTATCTGAGGTAATCAGGTTGTTAGTTTTTAACTGTTGCAAATCTGCAAGGCCTGCCTCGAGAGGGTTTAAACCGAAAATAGAAATAAAAAATCTAACACTACTACTTACAGAATTTTTCCAATATGGAATGGCTTGTTTGCATTAAAGGCCTTTATCAGCCCCTGCTGGAATAATACATCTTGTGAGCTTTTTAACTGTGTCAGAACATTCCTGTCCAAAGGGGCAGCAGTTGGAATTGATCTTGGGACCACCTACTTCTGTGCTGGTGTATTCCAACCTGGCAGAGTTGAAATCCTTGACAATGATCAGAGCAACAAGACTACATACAGCTATGTGGCCTTTACAGATACTGAGAGGCTGATTGAAGATGGTCTTTGGGAAGGTCACATCAAGGTGGATT